GAGGGTTAGGTAGAGCCGGATCATAAGGTGATAGGGACGATGGCGCGGAGACGTGCGCACGGTTAGTCGACCCATGCCAACGGTAGACGTGCAGCGTGCAAGCGGTTCTTCTGCGCGCACGGGACCGGCCTCTGTAGTCTGATAGCTGTCGCTTCTGCTGTTGCTAATAAGCGCTGACCCAGTCGCTTAGGTTAGTTAGGTGGGACCTTGTAAATCACACGAAAGGCTTCGTCGGGATACATACGATGTCCAGAATCAACCATGTGTGCAAGAATGGGGCTGTGCATGCCCTTTACCTTTCCTCAGCCACGCCAGCAGGTGTTGTCGTATTCTTGTGAATAGGCGCCAACTCGTACGTCCAATATAGCCTACTCGACAGGAGCAAGTAAAATAGTAAATGAACATGGGGGTGGTTTGAGCTGCTATCCTATCCTTACCTTCCCCGCGTGAGATGGGGGTGGTCGTGAACAACACTTGAACTCTTGCTACCGGGAAGGTCTGTGAAACGGCTTGGTCAAGGCGCCTTCTCAGGAGTTCACTCGCCGCATCCCCTTGAAAGGGAACGTTGAGGAACAGTTTTTCTCTTCTGCCGTCGATAGGATGAGTTTTGCCGGTCGTTCGGCAAGATTCTTTACAATAAATTTGTCAGGATACCCGTCCTTGCGAAGCATGCCCTGGAGTCTTCTAGGTTCCTTATCAGCACTATATGCAGAACAGATTCTTCTAGCCCTTTGCGCCAAAAAACGGACTTGATTAGGTTTCTGTACGAACGGACCAGGTGTCCTTTCGATGGACGCTTCTTCAAATGCTGCGGTCGGCCCTTCTGCTTCGAAGGACATCTAGAAAAGGCAGTGATCCTGTCTTTTCCACCTATAAAGTAAACCTGATCGACGAATGTGCTTGATTTACAGCATCCAAGAGGGTGGTTACGTTGATTTCTGTGGTGGCAATTGCAAGGATGTCGTCAACGTAGCGACCGCAATGTCTTAGTTTATTGATTTGGTCGTTTAACTGAAACTTCTCCAGCTTGTCCATGAGGACATCGGCTGTACCTACTTGACTTTTACAGCGATCATGCCTGATCGGCTGTGAGAAGACCAAAGGCCGATCCCATTGCAACTCCGTCAATTTGTCTATATATTTGATTTTCAAAAAGAAACTGCACGTTTTGTGTGCACTTTAGCAATAATTCCTTGAGTGCGTTTGTCGGAATACCTATTTCTTGGTGGCTGGTTGACAAGAATTAACATATATACTCAACAGTCTCCGTGACCAGAACGTTTGTGAGGAGTGGTAAGACACCAAGTGAAAACATCCCCATACCGTTTATGTTTAGGTCTTTAACGTCTTCAATGAATTTCAAGGTACTCCGATAGCTATGTGGTGCTGGTTAATACTGTACAGGTTTGAGTTCCTCTGCTAACCACTTCTCTATCGCATGATAGGGAGAGTTGCGCATGTCCAAGATCAGACGGACTGGTAGGCCATTCTTGTGGATCTTCGGTAGACCATACTATCGAGGGATGTGTGTGCCTACTGGGCGGAGGTTTTTGGAGTTCACGATCGCTTATGAAACCCGCTGCATGGAGTCTGCGTAGACAGTCAGCTAGTTGTGCTTCTACTTCGCCCGTGAAATCCTTTTCTTCGTCTGCTTTCTTGAATTTCTTCTGGTCTGACAATATGGGCTGTAATTTCTAGTATGTGACAGTCTCAGAGGTATCAAAAGGCAGTCTAATCCACCAACGCGTGTGCACGGTAGAACACTGTGAAGCCTCGAAGAAATTTGCCCGCCTCGCAGATGGATGTTCCCACACAGTAACAGTATTGAAAAATGACAGGCGTCGGCTTGTGTAAACGGGGATTGGTATGGGGTTCATCCCCATCAGCCGCAAGACCACGGCATGATAGGTGGTCGGACCCTGCCAGGGATAAGTGGTTAAAACGATGCGGCCCAGTCCCAGCGTTGGATATGAGGAATGTGCGCCAGAGAGGCATACCCTAACTGGGATGGTCCGCTAGCAGACATGCAAAATGCAGAAAGCACTGAAAATGCTCACTAGGACTGTATTAGCGGTTTGTAGGATGTTCGATAACTCGTGGAGAAAACTTTGCAGCGAACTCTCAAAGGCCAGTGCGTCCGCGGTGGAAATGCTGTTCGGGAGAGCGCGGAGCCTGTGGACGTGAAAGGTGGTTAGAGTGATAAGACCGAAGACAGTCTAAGAGAGAGAAAGGCATCGGAAATGTCCAGACTCACTGACTGCACTAGTGGGGTGGGGGTGGAGATGGCCTTATTATTCCAAAAAACAACATTGGTAGGAAAACTTTCGAGCAACTTACGAGCGCCGAATTTTGCCCAAACACGTGCACATTGGGGGGGGGAGGTCGTTTGGGACTTACGCTCACCCAGCTGATCTGACTGTCGGACGGAATAAGGACGCTCCGTCCATCCTTGTGGTGCCCGGCCTAAAGTCCTCGCTGGTGGTCTTATAGTGGGTTCGCATGTCGGGTCTGCCCGTTTCGATTTGTGGGTATGGCAGACTGACGACGGCATTGAGGCCAGAAACGGCCATTTCAATTTTTTTCTAACTTGTCTCACTATTAACTGGCATTTCAACTCGGGCCGTCACTGTTTCCTCCCGTACTCACCCATAAACCACTTCAATGTGGGAACCTATTTATCACAATTTTATACAATGCCTAGTGTCTGCTGTTTATTTGCACTAGCTCATGACAATGTCGAGATGGCAACAGACAGCAAATTTTTTGAAAAAAAAAACTGATAAGTTGCGCTGATTATAGGATTGAACAGTCAGGAGAAATGCACTTTCGTCCGCATTCGACTCATTGAGTTTGGATTTCTTGATGAAAATGTTCATTATCTCAAAAACAAAGCATACTATCTCTTGTCCTCCCTCCCTCTGCCGAAAAATGACGGCAACTAATAAGGCGGAGGGTAAACACGCGGTCACAAAGGTCGCGAAGGACGTGTTTTGGCTTCTGACTAACACCTACGCTTAGGCTATGGTGCCAAGTATTGTAGACTGTCAAAATACACCGGTCGAACAGGTGACGCGACAATTCGGCGGCCGATTCCGACCATGTCCACCGAGTGTCCCACAGCATGGTGGGCGCCGGGACGTGATTTATGATGATAGTCGACTTGCGCTGCATCTACAGTACTCTCTCCTCCCCCACCTGGACCCGGCGTAATGAAAAAATAAAGAAGTTTAGAGGCATGATCGAGTGCAGGCGGCTAGCGTGCCGTGGGCCTGCGCCTAGGCGTGCCACCACATCTACCTCCCCCCATGTGCGGCAGTTGTTATGGATGTGCATCTCAAATAACACCTGCCATGCCCCGATCTGGTCCCCGCGTTAGTGCAGCGCACCTACCAAGTGGCCTATTGTAGGATCACAGTCGAATAGGCAATCTTAGCGGAAAGGCACGTATTGCTAGGAAACTGCTTCATAGCCATCTCCCTGTACAAATTGCCCTGCGCAAGGATGACGCTCATTGTCATTCTATCAAGCAAGACCGAGTGGTGGCAGCCAGATGCGAGTGATATGCTAGACAGAAGACGTTTATGGAGCCGGCCAGGATTTCTTATCACCTAGTGGTGCGGTCCCTTCTACTGTCTTTCTGACTTCATTCATTTCCGCTACTCCAGATGTTATTATCCATGTTGGCGACCTTGGAAAACGGGCCTGGGAACTTCGCTTTACTCAGGTCAGTGGCTCATAACCATCTTCCATAAGTAACCCGCAGTCAGGGAAGGTGTGAAAGAAAGCGCATAAACTGAACGGCCGTAGATAATAGTGCCAGGTTAATACTTCCTTTTTGGGAATGTTCATAATCTGCCAGCTCATTTAACAAGAAAGTTGCAAGCTGTAAGGATACGGAGGCACTATTGGGATTTTTATAACAATCTCGGTTAGTTCAGTGCTGAAAAGGTAATGGCTTTTACGAGATAAGAAACGTCAATTGCTCAGCAAAAGGTATCGGGGTACCGTCCCGAAGAGCGCATACCCTACACAAAACTCGTCGAATTCCAGCAGAAGTTCGTAGACATGAAGCTTTGTGAGTAGACGCTGACAGGCGACGGCGACATGAGTGGACTGCAAAGTTGAAATTCAAAAAAGCTACATTGTTGATGGTGGCTAGCAAAGCAATTCAGCAATTCTGCCCAGCCAAAGTCCCATGTAACTTGCCTTATTGGTGGACATAAACAGGACGAGGCGCTGATAGGGCGTGAGATTTTGCGGCTGTTCGCAAGCCGCTTTACCGTCACTTTCATCATCATCACCACCACCACCACCATCATAGCAATCCATCTTGCTAGCTCCTGCTTCCCTCATCTCTACCTCCATCTTGGTTTTGCAGTCGGTATTTTCTGGAGAGCCTCTGTGACCGAAGAATGCGTCCAGACCAACAGAAAGTCGGGTACTTCGATCCAGGGCCTCGATGATGGCAATTCGCAACGGTGCGGACATTAGGGGTGACTCAAGCAAGTCCAGAAGAGCGTGGAGGGCCTAAAGTGAAAAATATACCTATACACTACGACTTTCCAAACAAAGCCAGCGTTAAAGCGTGTTTGCGTTGTACGTGCCTGGAAAGATGAGGGGATGTCTCCGCTTGCAACAGCCTGTTCTGACGTGTCGGCCTTCGACTGAAGAAAATTTTTGCAGACATCCTCAGAAGTCGTCGACAGGATGACGCCAGCCAGTTCTATACCCG